GAGACAAAGACAGAGAGAGAGAGAGAGAGAAAGGTGGGGGTGGTTCGGTGATGGGGAAGTCTGGAAGAAAGGGTGGAGAGGGCGGTAGGTGAGGGTGGAGGGTACTGCTTTTGGAATGTAACCGAATAGTGAAAGGAGTGTAATTGAGAATTCCTGTAGGCCTACCATTATTCTCAGCTCTCAATGAATTATGACTGAGTAAACACTATAACAATAATAGTGATAATAATGGTGACTTTCTAAAATAATAATTATTTCTAATTGCAAACCATTGGTCTTCATTTTTAGGCCTACGTTATACAAGTTGAAGGGAGAAAAATGTTATTTCACTTTGAATAATAACAAGACCACTACACAATTTAACGATCCCTATTTGTTGCTTTACAATCAAAGTTTAATTTACAAGAACTTCGAAACAGACAAACAACAACAGTAACAAAGACAACCAAAATAACACATTTTAAATTACAGCAGCACCAGCACCAGCATCAGCAGCGGCAGCAAGAGCTGCAACAACAACAACAACAACAACAACAACAAAAACAACAACAACAACGACGACAACAACAACAATGTTGCCTCATAGGCTGTAAACACGACTTTTTATTGAATAAACATGTATACAATATTTTTTCAAAGATTGCATACTGAATCAAAATGATCACATCAGAAAAATCTGCAGCTGTATATTATATATAACGCGTGTTTGACACAACCTCTCCCCAGGGCTCAATAAACCAGTACTGGAACTGTGGGCGAAGGACATAAATATTACACGGTATCCATACCAATAAAACGGCTCTGATAGCTTCCTTCAGAAGTACGCTTCGCTATTAATAGTCTCCTGATTTTTTTAGAATGTGTTCAGCCAGCTCTTTTTCTTGCTCAATAAAACGTTGACGTACTAACCAGAACCACCCCCGAAACAGTGCAAATAACCAACCGCCCCTTACCTGTCTTTTGCAATGCAGCCCAGATAAAATATTTTATTGAATCAAACAACATTTTGATCCTTGCCTCAGTTTAAACAGATGCTCGACGTATAATGTCGCTACGTTTTTTACATTCTTCTCTCTCAGAAAGTAAAACAACGTCTCTATATCAGATAAAAAGAAGTCAAAATATTCATTAAAGACACTTTTAAACAGTCAAAATCTCGGTTGCCGAATTTTATATCAAGTGAAACAAAAATAAACGCCGTTATTTCATTGGTTGTTTTTTTTTCAACGAAAACGTGCTACGAAAGTTCGGAAGATGGGTCCTAAAGCGTGTACAATAAAAACTGAAAGCAAAGAATACAGCTTAAAAAAATATATTTTTCCTTCTGAATTTGACAGCAGTTAAATGAAACTTTGTATGGATGTACTT